TAAACAATACTCTAATCAAGGAACTACCAAGTAGAAAACCACACCCCCACCAAAACTGGCAGGGCAAGCTACTATATATAAACAGGGAGCAAACCCCACACTCACCAGCACTGATGATGTTACCTAGTTGGGTAATGAAACATGTGAAAGCAAACAACCAAGCCCAAAGAGCACCAAGGACTCCATAAGTAATTCTGCTGCATCTGGTAGATATAGCTGGTGAAATGGAATTACTGAGTTGAGATACAACAGAATGACCTTCTCCAGCATGGTCACCTTGTTATCCTAAAAAATTATTATTTCTTTCTGTAACACATGTCTACTCTTCCTCTCCTCTGAAAGCTATAGCAGGATGTATTTAATTGTCTTAAACAAAATTAAGATAATAAATAGATAGCTCTAAATGTCAGCCATGCAGTGAGCTTGCTAGACAAACAGGTATTTGAATGCAATTCTTCCTGATCAAAATTCAACAATTACTGTCTACAATTACTGTATCTAGATAGGGTTTTTTTTCCTATTCAGCTAGAAACAGGTAAAATATAACCTCAGACCACTGTATATAAAAACAGTTTCAAATATAAAGCTACTGTTTTGTAACAACAAGGTTTCCTGTGAGACCACCAAAAATTTAACTCAGCTTTCTTAAAATGCTAGATAAAGCCATACATCTCTAACTAATTCTGTATTTTCAACAGAATTTACAGTGTTATTCTATAAATTATTAACAATCTCATATCAGAACGTACAAACATCTCATTTTAAGGACTGTAGGCAATAGCAATATAAATGAAGAAGATGACTAGCAGCAAGGTGGATGAACTTGATTACAGTGGTCATGGGTATACTGTTGGAAGACCTAAAGGGCCAGGTTGGGAACAGATCATCCTGGAAGTCTATCTACTGCAGTTGCTAAAAGTTGACCCCAGCTTGATGGCACATAATCAATTTACAAACAATTACTTCATCTATCATAAAGTTTTCCAATATTTTTGATGTGATCAAAATTATCTCAGAATATTTTGTAATATATACAAATCTCCCTTTTGTTTATTTGTTCCTTCATTTTTCACAACTATTTATCAATACATAACTAACACAGAACATTCCAAAATAGGCTCTCCATATTACTTTACAAAACTATCACAATGAATGCAATGTATTAATTATATAAAACAAGACACAGTGACCTAATGTATACAGCAAAAATAAATTATTGTTATCTTTACATTTTCTAGCATCAATACATTATAAAAATCACTAGAATATCAGATTCACCCACAGAATCCAATTTAATAGAAATCCTGACAGTTTTATCTTTTAAAGTTATGAGGTTTTTTAAAAATTTTAGATCTTTTGAAGCATATCAGGTAATTCTAAATAGCTTGAATCAAATTTTTAAATGCAATAAAATAAAACTGAAAATATATATTTTAAATTTCCTATAATTGTTTCATAGTTTCCCATAACTATGAAAACGTATAAACAATAGGATCTTAAGTATTACTGTAATATGGGTGTTATAGAATTACAAACAAAGGTAAGAAATCAACTCAATATTATTCATCAAGAATGATTAAATATAATTTGCCAAGTTTATCAACAAAGTTATGCATATTTAACCTGGCAAAGATGAGCAATAATAAAAGTAACGAATTTACCTTTAACAACAGAAACGAACTGGAAGAAAATACTTCTGAAATGTGTTTTTTGAAGCAAGACTGCCACAAGATTTTTTTTTAAAGACATGAACCAGAAACTTGTCATGTAATTTACTTGTCAAATACTTACCAGCCGTTGATTTCATTCTGAGAGTTCACACTCACTCCAAAATCCACCAATCGCTGAACTTCTTCAATATCTCCCAAAGCAGCAGCTTCTCTCAGTCTCTCTTGCAGCTCTTTTTCTTCTATTGTAGATGTCATGTTACGATATTCTTTCCACAGTCAACTTTGGGATTATCAAATGCCTGCTTACCTACTGTAGAAGATGGATCATTTTATCACACTAGTCAATCAGAGGCCGACAGAATTCGTGAGCCCCTAAAAAGAAGTCCCACGTCTTATTCTTTTAATCGTAAACACACCGGCAACTCTTTTCTACCTACTGCTCATAAATCAGTCTGACATTTCTGAAGGCCATTTTCCCTAATTGCATAGTTAGTCTCGGTCGTTTCTGCTTCCGTTTTCTCTGGGGGACTCTATTAAATGAGACAACAGCGACCTGCACATTTCGTTCCCACCAGTCGTCCGACGCGCAAATCTTCGGCGTACAGCAAAAAGGGGAAAAGAAAAAAAGAAAAATCGTTTCATTGTTCGTTTGATAAATCGAATGATTGTTTAAAATATAGTGCACTTTATCACAATCAACGTTCTATGCAACCAGAAAAGGTGCTTCTGCAATCTGCATTTGTGCTTTTACTGAGACAGTACTGTATATTGCTCGGCAGCTTCCATTTGTTCTCGCTTTCTAAAACTGCTCCTACTGGTGTTAACTTGATATCGAGCAGGCTGATATATAAAATTAAACTGTTTAAAGTAACCGAAAGCCATCTCTTTTCAAACATTGTGGTAATCTTAAACATACGTTTCCACCAGCCAAGGTACTGTAGTGAGTCTTTCGGTATTCCTACTTCTTAGTGATTTCTATTGCAATTAACAGAAGGAAGGGAGCTGCGGCTCACGAAAGTTTATGCCGTTGTTAGTCTGAAAAGGTGCTACCACCCTCCTTCGGACTATTGCAAGCAGCACTCTCTCAAATTCCTCTCTTTATATATATGTTTTCATATTCTTGTTGATCGTGCGTTCTGTTAATTGTAGGTGCTCCAGTCTAATTTTAAATGTGTACCTCCAAAATTAGCATTTTGCGCATCAATTTTTCAGAAAAAGGAAGATGGACCTCCCAGTTTTTCTGCCATTGCAAGTCCAGAGCAGAATAGATAAGTTTAGTGTCTCGATAGCCTTGTCAAAAAATTATGTGAAAGAAGACCCAGGAGTACAAGTGACTGGAAGTTCCTGCTCCTAACTCCCACTCATGGGTCACACTGTCATGTAATTATTTTTGTAGTCTCTGGTATAGCAGCTGTATACTGAAGATGCAGCTTTCACAGCATTCCCAAGCAATACATGGACAGGCAAGGAAGCATTTTCTTGGCCAAGTAGAGGGATGGGTATTAAAACCTTCTGTTTCTGAAAAGCGTTTTCCCTCTGTTTACTGCCATGTTTACTCAAAAGGAAGCTCTATGGAATTCAGTGAGACCAACATCATGATGTTTAGGACTACAGCCTGGGTCTGAAATGTACTTCTCAGGTAATTTATAGTACTACCAAACCAAAGACAAACTGCAATTATTTTATTATTTCCTTCACAAGGGAAAACACAAGAGCCTCGAAAATGGAAGACAATAAAATCTGGCCCCTGTAAAGTATTATGAACAAGACAGGGCAATTGCACACTTTTTTAGAAGCCAGCCTCATTAGTTCTATGATTTTAAAAAACTGAGTGTAAGTTAATAGCCTGGTGTGTTCAGATTCTGACATGCAATTCTTTCTTGTCAAACTTTTGCTTTAACAGTTTGTGGGGTAATGATGCTAATAATCTATTAAGCTATAACTACATCCTCCTTCCTATTTAGCACTCTTCTCGATGGAACCCTAATGATCCTATGGGACAAATTATTTTTGAAGTTTTTATGTGAATGAAGTGTGGGACTTTTCTATAAAGATTTGAAGAACGTGCAATGCAAAGGACGAAAGCAAGGCTGGGTATTCTTCAAGATCCTGGTAAAGTTTTGAAATACAAAATTTGATTTTTCAAAATAATACGAAAATCCGCAAATATAGGTGGGTCTTAATGAAGGCTATGAATAGTCAGCATTAAAATGTTTGCAATATTTAAATTTCTTTTTGGGCAATCTGTGTTACAAGACCCTGCAAAGAACACGTTTGGTCAAATCTGTGGCATGGTGAATGGCTGCCGGTTTCTTCCCGTCCTGCAGATGAGAAGGCAAGGTAACAGAGGGCTCGCCGCGCCCGTTCCATAGCGACGAGGACTGGTGTACAGACGCCTCGCGAGCCCTTGACAACAAGCCCCAGGGACGATTACGCGAGGCGAGCGCAGTGCATTGTGGGAAACGCCCGGGCTCGACGGTGCCGCCATTTTGTCTCTGTCAGTCTCGCGGCGGCGCGGCTGCAGCGTTTTGGAGGGGAGGGGAAGCATTCGAGGCGGCGATAGTTGGGCCGGTGGCGGACAGGCACCATGATTTCGGCAGCCCAGCTTTTGGACGAGCTTATGGGCCGGGACAGAAACCTCGCCCCAGATGAAAAGCGCAGTAACGTGCGGTGGGACCATGAAAGCGTGAGTGTCGCTGAGCCTGGGCCTACGCTGTCCTCTCGGGCCTCCCTGCTCTCTTTCCGCGTGCTTCGGGTGTTGGGGATGGGAAAGGGAAATCGCGGCCTAGTCCGAAAAATGGGTTTGCTTGGGCAGCCTAAGATAGGAGGGACGAGGAGCCGGACCCGTTTTGACTGTAAAATATGGTGTGGAGGAAGGCGATTGCGCGGGTTGGAGGGCTTTAGGCCTCTGGAAGGGAGAAAGATGTGATGGGTAGGAAAACTCGAAGGGCTCTGCAAAAGACGATGGGATTATGCATCGTGGCCTTGAAGATGAAGGACAAGCCAGGCAACGGAGACCCATCGCGCACTATAAGCCCAAAATATTGAGACTCGGTGGTGGAAGCGAGCGATGAATTAATTACTTTGTGTCTGGAGATGTGGCGCCTGAGAACGTGGGGTGGAGAGGTCGGTATACGCGGAATGGGAGTGAAGGTTGTGAAGTGTACGAGTCAGGGTTTCAGCCCTAACCCTTTTCTTATATTGAGGAGGGAATGCTATTTCATAATCATACATCTTTTTATCATTCTGCGTGTATTTGTGCCACTTTTCTAGTTCAGAGCAGAACTATATGATCTACAGTGAACAAGAGGGACATAGAATCATAAAACGTTTAACAGGGCCAAAGTGGGAGAAAAAACTATTATAGCTAAACAAGAAAAATAAGAAAGATAAAATAAATCAGTAATCTAACAGAAGGCCAGAATAACAAAAACATTTTCAAAGATTCACATCAAGGACGAGCAGCTGCATTTTCTCTCCTATCTATTATGCCATCATTACATTACCTCAGAAAATTCTCAGGTGACTCCCTTGAATTAGGAATGTTTCTGAATTTGAGTTGCTCATAAAAACTGGGTTCAAGCCTGCCATAGAATAAATGTGTTGAAGTTCCTTAAGATAACAGAAAAATTATCACTTGTTTCTCTTCAGAAATAATGACCCATGCATTTATTTGAGAATATGTTGAAAAAATATGTGTAGGACAGACAGGCAGAAGACTAGCAAAGTGTATCCATGAACACCAACTAGCAGTCAGAAGACATGATGAAAACTTAATCTCACAACACATGGACAGATTCAATCTTAGTTTCAATTGGGAAACTGTGAACATCCTAGACCAAGCTAAACCCAAAAACGCTAGGGAATTCCTGAAACCTTGGCATTTAGACAAATCAGCCATCAGTAGACACTTAGAGATAAACCACATTTACACACCATTCAAAAGAGACAAAAAGCCCAGAACACACACTCTCCAGCAACCAACACCAGATAAGCAGGGATTAACACAAGACAAAAAAGCAGAAAACAATACCCTAGTCAATACCTTTATTAGGTAGTTCCTAATCAAGGAACTACCAAGGAGAAACACCCCCAACAACACTGGCAGGGCAAGCTATTGTATATAAATAGGGAGCAACTGATGATGTTACCTAGTCAAGTAATGAAATGTGTGCAGGCAGAGGTGATGAGAGAGCGCAACTGCTTTGAATTTGATTTTATTGTCATGTGATGATAGGAAATGAGGATGTTAATGGATATATTGTGTTTTGAATGATCTGGGATCTGCTTCTTCGTTGCTGATCATATCAGTTTGGATGGACCCAGATCCAGAGCGCAGGAGTTGGATTTGTTGTGGAAGGTGAACGCTTGGAACAGAGAGAATGAATAGGTGTTTCATGGTCTTAGCTGGAAGTGGCTTATGGGATGGAGAAACAGTGGAAGCATCTTACTGTTGATTGACAGTTTTGTAATCTGATTCAACTGGTATGGTGATGGCATGTGAGATTCCCAGTCCAGCTATGCAGCTTGCTGGATTGTAACTGTGGAAAAATATTAATACCATGCAGCAGGCACCATTACTTTTGGATTATTTGGCAGAGAAAATAAGATGACTAGGAGTAGAGGCCCCTGGAAATCTAGAACCTCAGATAGGGGCCCCTTACTGGAGAACTGGAGCTGCTGATAATCGTTGGATTAAAGCAGACTTTTGGACTGTTTGCCTTTTGGACTGCTACTTTAGTTCTAGGAACTAGTGGATAATCTTCATTAGTTGGGGAGTTCTGAACACTTGCATCAGTCACAAGTCCTCAGAGGGAAGAGAGAAAATGGATGGTAATGTATGTTGCTTTGTCCTCTTCTCTTTTCTTTTTTTTTGAGACTGTGCATAGACTTGTTTCAGTGGCAGTTGTTGGTGAGTCTGATAGCTCTAGAGGAACCGTGTACTGAATTAGACTGGATGGCCAGTCTAGGTGAGAAGAGGATTGGCCAGTCTGTGGACCACACCTGGGATAATAGAACAAGAAGGGGGGAAATCATTGGGGCTTATTAATGGGAGAGAGTGTTACTGTGTAGTTTTTCCTATGGTTTTATGATGGATTAGAATGTGCATTGGAGCATGTATAAGGTGTAGTTAAGAGATGTTAACATGAATAATCCTGCCAGATTGCTGGGATGGATGTGCTTGACATCACACTCTGAGTGTGAGTGTGATGTCAAACATATCCGCAACCTCTAAATGATGGTTGAAATGTTGGGGAGCCCAGATACTGCAGATGGGGATTATTAAGGGTATCCCAGTAATGGTGGGTTGAGAGAGATACTGCAGGAAGCACTAAGCATGCTGTTACAGGGAAAGGGTGGTTGACAATTGCAGTTTCCAGCTTGATTCTCTCACACCTGGGACCTATGAGCATATTGTATTTCTGCTCGGGGCCCTGCATTTGCTTTGTTTTAGCTTCTGGGTGCAATTCAAAATGCTGGCCATCACCTATAAAGCTCCACGTGGTTTAGCATACCCGCTGGAGTGCATTTTCCAGCCAGAATTGGCTTATCTGACTTGTATGTTCCAGAAGAAACTGTTGGGAAGCCGTGTAAGTGCTGCTCTTCAGTAACAGTGCCTACTCTATGGAATAGTGTCTCCTTAGAAATTAGACCTGCCCTCACTGTAAAAAAATAATAATAAAAATGGCACTACTACAATTGTTAAAATTTTTGAGTAAATTTAATAGTGGCAAAAAGGAATTCTAATCCTGTTCTTATGTTTCAGGTTTGTAAATACTACCTTTGTGGGTTTTGTCCAGCTGAATTATTCACAAATACTCGTTCTGACTTGGGTGAGTGTGTGTTTTCCCTTTATAGTAGTTGGTTTAAAACTTAATGCTAGGCCACAACTTCTATATGCCTTTAGAATGTTTCAAATGTTACTTAACTAGTATGGTTAAAATCTTTAATTATGCAAATTTTCTTAGTTGATTATATTCTAAACTTAGAATTTCAGAAGTTTGCTTATTTCTAACAATGCTTATTAGGTACCAAAGCATAAAATGCAGCTTTCTTTGTTCTTGTAAATACCATTTAGTATTAGCTTTTCAATCTTTCTCTTTTTGACAGCCTTCCTCCATGTAGAATATGTTCTGATGAATTGTCTATTCTTTGAATCATGCTTTAGATCTAATAGCTACAACATTATATCCCAATCTTAAGATTTGATTCATCAGTGTACAAATTCATAATATGGAGATTGTACTGCTGTACCATTGCAAACAGTTGTTTTATTAATAATTTGATTGATTAATACATTTATTATTTAAGATGTTTATTAATTATTATAAAGCTGTCCCAGTATAATAATAGAATCAAGATACTGGAAAATAATCTCTCTATTTCTGTATATATTCACATTCTTCACTATAGCTTTATTTCACTCTCATAAAAATGTTGCAAGGGTAGGGAATATTTGTTCCTGAACTTGTTCCTGGTGCTTCTCCTACTACTTATCCACTAGACCAATACCATTTATGCTTCTGTAAGACCACATATGTTGAAATGTTCGCTGCAATTTACTTTAATTAATTATTTTTAATCATTTTCAGTAGCCTGCCTAGAACCCCCAACATTTTATCTTGGAGCATGCTCACTCTTGCTTTTAAACCCATTCCGTGCTTTTGTGGTGTTAGTGATGGAGTTTTAATCAGATTACAATCATTCTGGCAATACCCATATGATGACCAAATGTTTGAATGCTGTTTAGAACTTCATTATTGTTTAAACATGTTTCTGCCAAAAATTTAACATTGCTTGAGGCAAAAACTTTTGAAATTTGGTTGATCTTTGTTTTGTACAGTATTATCAATACTTTCCTATTATTAATAATAATATTTTTCAGGTCCATGTGAAAAGATTCATGATGAAAACCTAAGAAAACAGTAAGTATATGTGTAATTATACTTAAGAAGTTGCTAATAGGCATAGCTAAAAATAATTTCAGTACAAAAACCTCATCAAATTTTAATTGAAATTGAATAACTCATAGTTTATTTATTTATTTGCCATGTATTTTGATTATACATACACTGTCTTTATTATTAACCTTCAGATACATTTTGGACATTGATAGGTATGAGAAGAGTTCTCGATTCATGAAAGTAGGCTATGAAAGAGAGTTCCTTCGCTATTTACAGAGCTTGCTTGCTGAAGTTGAGCGTCGAATTCGAAGAGGCCATGCCCGTTTAGCATTATCTCAGACTCAGCAATCATCAGGTGTAAGTATAAAAAAGATGGATAATTAGCCATTTTGCACTTTTCAATTCACATTTTTTCTCACAAGTATTCTTTAAAGTAGCATTTATGTATAGACTTACCTAGGGGCTAAAGCATAATTATGAAAAGTCCTTTAATTTATTAAGTCAGTTACAAAAGTCCATTCATATTACATGGGTAACAGAAAGGTACCTCAGATTTATTGCAATGCACATGACTTCCTTCTAACTGTGTTGAATTTATCAGAAATAGACTAATATGAAAGTATCAGTTAAAATACTTTATGCTCACCTAGGATCATTAACCCAGAACATCTCACTTCTGAATATATATAAATAGAATTACTTTTCTTTTTCTTTTCAGTTTATGGCAGCTTTATATTTAAAACAGGCAGTGTAATTGACATAATAAGGATCAATAAAGCAAAGGACTGTTTTATTTGAGATAGTTACTGTTACTTTTTTATATTTAGCAGGCAGCAGGACCTACTGGCAAAAATGAAGAAAAGATTCAAGTCTTAACTGATAAAATCGATGTACTTCTGCAACAGGTAGAATTATCTTAAAAACTTTATTTTTTAATAAAAGTAATATTTAGAAACCCAGTTTAAGACCTAAAAGTGTTTTTGCTCTCTAATAGATTGAAGAACTAGGTTCGGAAGGAAAAGTAGAGGAGGCTCAAGGCATGATGAAACTTGTTGAACAGTTAAAAGAGGAGAGAGAATTGCTCAGATCTACAACTTCAGTAAGTAAGAGTCATAGAAAACTATTTTCCTTTAAGGTTAAAAGCCATTATCAGATGAAATCAAATCTTACCTATTTAGTAAAGAAGTTTTTTTTCCCCTGAGTTTTTGTAAAATGATTTTGTGTGTCTGTCATATAAATATTTTTATTCCTCACAAGTCAATTTTTATATAAGCTCCAGCAAAATAATCTCGTAGCCTAATGTCAAGGCAGTAGGTATCCTGTATTGAGTGGGCATAAGATGAAAATACCATATAAAAGTAATTTAAATTCTGTGATGAGAAAGTAATAGTTCTTTGATGGAACAAAGAACCATGAAATCAGTTTCAAGATTTAGCATCTCAAATCCCACTGAACCTACTTAAACTAGTAACATAATTTGCTTCCAAAATATTCTGGAATTTTTCTCCAAATTCAGATGGCTTCTTACTTCCACTGCAGTTCTTGCTTTGAAGCTGAAGTAAATCCACTGATTTCCATAATTCCAGCCACTTTGTCTCCTGTAAGGATTTACCAAAATCAATATCCAAAATTCCTTTAAACCATGGGGTAGATCTCCTATTTCTCATCGCAATAATAATATGTATGTTTTTGAGATTGTTCCTTTTGGTTGTTCTAAGTAGTTAAGTATTAAATTCTCAAAATTGGTATAAGGCCAATGAAGTAGGCCTACTCATGCGGATTCCAAGTACAGCATGTCAGGTTTTTCACAGCACAAGTACAGAAAGCCTATCTTCCCTTCAATTATTGCCTCATAAGTGGCATCTCCTCAGGAGCCTAGCCCAGTTTGCTATGGTTGGATTTGGATTGTCCCAAATCATAGTGCTTTTCACAAACATCCTAACTGTGCCAGGGATCCCATCTCTTTCTCTGCTCTGATTGCTGTTTTCTTTTTTCCCAAGTTTCCTAACAGTCTGCTAATGATTTACCCTCAGTGGCACTGACCTTGAATTTAGCTGGTACTTGTTCTTACAGTTGCAATTTCTTTGGCATTTTAAGTATATGGAAAGACTAATGCCCAGCCTTCAGTTATCACATTTTGGAATCCCTGAATTTTAAAATAGCTGAACTGATATATTCTGTATATTGTAGGTGATTGACACTTGAATGAAACATGGTTACCAAGTACTTAGTGCTGTTATGTGGCTCTTCAAATTAATGCCTGTGTGTTTCTGATTTCATGAGACTAGAAATAGTATGTATTCTATATTGGGTTAGGAACTGAAAATGTTTTATGAGCAAAATTTGCCTGCCCTTTATCCCTGGTTTTCTGCATATCTTCATTAAATAGTCTGTGATATATCTTCAAAAATGCTTTAGAATTGGCTCACACACCCTAGTGGAATTTAACATGAGGATAACTTCTTCATAGCTAAATATCATAAGGGAGAATTATTATGGAATTAAATTTCTTACGTTTTGGGCCAGCAAGCTGTACTTTTCTAGTTCAGATAATATGCTAGTCATATTCTTGGTGAAATGATTCTTAATAACTTCTGATTTAAAATTTTAATTCTTGAAGTCAAATATCAGTTCATAAATAGAATTTACCTGTTTTGTTGTAATTTAATTTTATAGCAAATTGAGAGTTTTCAAGCACAGAAATTAAAAAAAACTAAACTCTGTGTTTAAAAGAATTTGAAATGTCTCTACATTTTATTAATAAATATCTTCTCTTTCCAGACCATTGAAAGTTTTGCAGCCCAGGAAAAGCAAATGGAAGTTTGTGAAGTCTGTGGAGCCTTTTTAATTGTAGGAGATGCACAGTCCAGAGTCGATGATCACTTGATGGGGAAACAGCATATGGGTTATGCTAAAATTAAAGCTACAGTAGAAGAATTAAAAGTATGTTCCACTCTTTTTATAGATATAGATATACGAAACAGAATGTGTTGTTCAGTGAAAATTCTGTTTGGACTAGTGACTACTGCTAACATCTAGTATTTCCAGTATATACAGGGAGTCCTCAACTTATGACAGTAATTGGGACCAGAATTTTCATTGCTAAGCAATGTGGCTGTAAAGCACAACCACATCACTTAGTGATGGCAATCCCTGCAGTCCCAGTTGCTGTTATTAACTGAATCCCATGGTCATTAGGTGAGGCAACTTCTTGCCGGCTTCCCACAACCAAGGTCGGTGGGGAAGCCAGCAGGAAGTTGCAAGTCCCAGGCCCGCGGGCAGGTAAGTGACAGCTGCCAGGTGGGGAAGGGAGCACTGGGCTGTGGGGGAGAGTCAGGGAGGGTGCAGAGGGGTGTGAAAGTGGCTGGTGCAACCACAGCACAGAGGGGCTGGGGGAAGGTGCACAGGTGGGGGAGACTTATCTCAGCAACTTGCAACCTTCCCTGCCGGCTTCTCCATTAACCTTCTGGGGAATCCAGCAGGGAAGGTTGCAAATGGCAGTCACATGATCGTGGGGCATTTGGCAATTGGTCATAAATGCGAATGGGTTGCCAAGCACCCAGATCATGATCACATGACTGCAGGGGTGCTGAGACAGCCAAAACTCTGAGGACCAGTCATAACCACCATTCATTCAGCACTGCTGTAACTTGGAATGACCAAATGGCCATAGATCAAAGACTACCTGTACAGGAATCCATTATATAAATTGTTTTAGAATATACTATTCTGAATATTAAAACTGAATATTAAAACTCAAGACCTTGTAATGGGAGAATTGGTGTTTCCATACACTCTACTAGACATAGGAGAAAATATTATTCCCATTTTATTCATATTCCAGAAAAGCTGAAATACTTACTATCAGGAACTATTTTGAAATTTTGAACATAAAAGTAAATTGTACCCTGCGTAAGTTGTGAAAGCAAACCCAGTAGAAATAACTGGGCAGATAAAGCTTTTGATTTTTTAGAAGTAGCTGTTTACCAAAGTAACAATAAAGGTTCACTCTGTTGAGCCAATTCAGTTGAGTCTATTCCATATGAAATGATGTTTTATCTCAAGCCACTCTGTGTGTGTGTGAGAGAGTGAGTGAGTTTGAGATTTTGGGCATCTTGGATGTGTAAGATACTCATTATTCCTTTTTCACATTAAAAAAGTATGTGATTAGTTAACAGGATTCCAACATTTTATTTGGTTGACAGGTTGCTATATGCAGAGTTTGTAAATATAACACATCCAGAAGCTAAGTGATTCTTATTTTTTAGACTTTGATGATGAAATCTAAATTCATGAATATATTTTGAAAAGAGATACTGCTTATTCTTGATTTGTCTTTGTATTGTCATTAGTGTTAGAAATCTGGTAATGGAAAATTTGCAATTGCTTAGGGTGTTTTTTCCTATACAGTCTTGCACAGTGCTAAAATAATGATAGTGCTTCTTTGCAAAATAGACCAGTTTTCCTTGTTACATTTAAATTCACAAATTTTATCTTTGTAAGCAATATTATATCAACCCATACTTAACCATCTTATCTGTTTATTACATTAGTTTCATTTAAATCTAAGCCATGCCCTTCTTGCTTCTTTAAAATTAAAGATCAAGATACTAGCCAAATTTTGTTCTGGTAAAATTTTAGAATATTTTCTTTTTTAAGGAAAAATTAAGAAAAAGAACTGAAGAGCCTGAACGTGATGATCGATTAAAAAAAGAGAAACTAGAGCGAGAAGAGCGAGAGAGGGAGCGTGAAAGGGAAGAAAAGGAAAGAAAGCGACGACGTGAGGAAGAAGAGAAAGAAAAAGAGAGGGCTCGTGATAGAGAAAGACGAAAGAGAAGTAGATCACGAAGCAGACATTCAAGCAGAACTTCTGACAGGAGAGGTAGTCGGTCAAGGGACCATAAACGGTCAAGAAGCAAGGACAGAAGACGAAGCAGGTAACTATCTAGGAAGTGGCTAAAGACATTACAGTGATAGGAAATGAGAATATTGCCGAACTTTATTGCCAAAGTTTGGATGAAAACTGGTCTAAGAAATAGAATCCAGTTTTCTGAGAACTTACCAAACCCTCTTGAGATGTCAAGTTTCTAAATTCTTGTGATAGATATTTAAGTGCAATGACTTTTTTATTATTAGAAGTCGGGATCGACGCAGAAGCAGAAGCCATGATAGGTCAGACAGAAAACACAGATCACGCAGCAGGGACAGAAGACGGTCAAAAAGCCGGGACCGGAAATCGTACAAGCACAGAAGCAAAAGCAGAGAGCGAGAACAAGATAGGAAATCTAAGGAAAAAGGTTAGTTCATCTCAGTGCTATTAAAATTTGCTGCAGAATTATGCCATCTCCAGGTGGACAGACACTTTTTCTCTTAACTTTTTCTGAACTGCTGTAATAAACTCTTTAAAACACTTTAAGACACTTTTTTAATCTTACTCCTAGTACTGCCGCATATTGCACAAGCCTTAGGTTGCAGGTAGATAAATGTAAGTTACAGTGTCAAATGTTTTGGCCTGTTCGCTAGCCGACAGCTTTCTGGCCTTAACTTTTATATTCATCAATATGTATATCTACTCAGTTGAGTCTTGTGTTACTATTATTTGTCCTTTATACAAATGTAATAGTACTGACATCTATTGAGGTATGTTTCTTTTTTCTTTTTTTCTTTAAAAAAGCTTTTGTATTGGCATGGGACGTGTACAGTTATGGTTCATCTTTTCATGCACTTTCACTTCCTTTTTTCCAGCACATCAGTTTTTTCATCCTTGCACATAGCATTCTAAAAAATGTGCAATAGACTAATCAAAGAGTCTTGCTTGGCATAATGTTCCTGGTAAGATCTTTATAAAAATTAACAAGCATGTTAGCCTTCCTTATAGTGAAGACGACATTGATATATTCATTTCTCGAAGGCACACTGTTTATACTTCTTCCAAACAAAAATAGCATTAACTCTTGGTTTCCCAAAGCAGAGTACAGTATAATTTTTTTAAAAAGTATAACTGTTTTCATTTAAGAAAACAGTTCTTAAACTCCCCCAGATATGTTTGTTAATACTTTTCCAAACTTTCTCTGTCTTTTCTTGAGGTTAGGTATGCTTACTATTTTCAAGCTTTTTTTTTTTCCAAAATAATTTAGAAATAGCCTCTTGTTTTACCACACCTTGTTCATATATTCACTGTTAGCCCTGAACTATTTTGTTCACTAGAGTCTTTCTTGGTATTTTAGTCATTTGCAGTGCAATTATGTACATGTCTACTTGTAAGTAAACCCCACTGAATAAAATTGGGCAGACTTCTAGGAAAATGTATATACATTACAGCCTTTAGTTGTGAGCAGTATTATTTGCTCATTGTCTATAAATTGTTTTGTAATTGTTACATTAAAAGTCTGTGAATTTTAGTACTTTTCATCTTCAAATTTTTCTTTGGTTTGGATAGTAGTTCACAAAAACCTAGCAGGTTACTTCACTGGGTGTAATTCTGGCTTTGCATTCCCTTCTGGTCCTTCTGGTCCTGATACTGATTGAGCCCAACAATTATCTGTTGTGATAATAGTATTCTTATAATGGCTATAATTTGATAGAATTGTTTGTTACTGATCTCAGGAACCACTGTGTTTGAAATTGGAGTTGCATATTTCTTTGCATTAATTTCTGTCTTGCAAAGAAATTAATACCATATTCTCAAATCTATAATGAACAAAAGCAACAACCACATGTGTTTTATTTAGTAGTGGAGCCTTATCTGTATGTGGGTCCTGTACCAGTAGACTTTGTATCATGGTGCCAATGTAGTTTGTAAAATTTGTAGCAGTTAATCCCCTTAGCAAAGATACTGATGAGTTGAAATAATAAATGAAGCTTTCTTGTACTTACTGTAGAAATACTAGTCTTGATATCTTCAGGGGCTTGCATCTTTGACTGCTTCATTCCCTACCAACAGTGATTTTTTGCTCAGAGTTTGCAAGCACTGTCAAGTATTGAATTTGAACTGAAAGCAGTTCACAGTATTAATGGAATGAAACTAGTAATGGGGTTAAAAATGTTTATCAGCTCGTTTCTTTTAGCTGAATATACAATTCATCACTACTATAACTAATGGGCGTCCTAATTCTAGGGCTTTCCTCTTAAATATGAATGCTGTGACTAACCCTCCTGCATATGTATGGCTTCTTCCCACTTCCATCTCTCTGCACACCTTTTTTTTTTTTTTTGCAGCTTACTGTTTTATGTTGGGGGGCATCTCCTAATTGATTTCCTTCCATTGCTTTATTCAAGCACTTGTTAGTCATTGCTATGCTAAGCTGTTTGAATGTTTGTTCTTATTGGACTTCCTTTATGTAAGTCTAGCAGTAGCTTTCACTACAGGTAGTCCTCGACTTATGACCACAATTGGGACTGGAATTTCCATCACTAAGCAATGCGGTCATAAAGCGCAACATCATGTAACCACATTGCTTAGCAACAGCAATCCTGGTTGCTGTTGTAACCCCAAGACGTGCAGGTTGTGTTAGGCAAGGACCACCCCAATCCAAGCCATTCCTGGCTTGCTCCCTCCCAGCCCATAGCCTCAGTAAGATAAGGGACTGCCTCCCCTTCAAATCCCTCCATCCCCCCCCATCTCTGCCCTTTTGGCCACCCTGCATGCTGCCTTGTGTGGTGACAAGTAGCCCCAGAACCACGTGGCTCTGGAGCTGCTCACCACACTGCGGCTCAGGGGCTTCTTGGCACGCTGCAGCTCTGGGGCTGCAAGAAGCCTCTGAGCCACAGTGCAAAACTGTAGGCGCCCCAGAAGCCTCAGCTGCCCCAACTTAGCCCAGTAGCATGGTGCAAAGCTGTCGCATTCCAGGAAGCCCCAACAGCACAGCGCAAATCCGCTGCATCTCGGGAAGCCCCAACAACACAGCGCAAAGCCACCGCATCCTGGGAAACCCCAGCTGCCCCAGCCCAGTCCCAGCCACAGTTGCCCTCACCACAGTGTACTCCAAGGCTCCTGCTGCCCTATGCTCCACCACCCCAGCTGACATTTGCCATCTTCTTGCTTCACTGCTCCTGCCATGCATGACCTTGGGATGAAAGCTTCATGCAGCCAGCAGTGCCTCAAGAAGGGCCAGGCCTGGCATGCTTGGTCAGCAGCAGGAGCAAGAAGATGGCGAAGATCAGCTAGGGTGGCAGGGCATAGATTGGGGGGAAATGGGGGGGGGAGTTGAAGCACTGCTGTGGTCATAAGCGTGAATGGGCTGCCAAGCACCCAAATTTTGAGCATGGGTGCATTGCAACAGCCGTAACTTCAGGGACCAGGTGTAAGTCCCTTTGTTCAGCACCACTGTAACTTCAAATCGTTGCTGAATGAATGGTCGTAAGTTGAGGACTACCTGTAAAAGTTATTGTATGCAGCTTTCTGTGGAAAATATTAATGAGGATAAAAGAAAACAGAAATTTTCCATTGCTCTTGAATTGAAGAACTGAAACATTAACCAAAATTCTATGTATTGGCTTATGTAAAAATGTAGCTTTATCATTATCCCTTACCATCACTGCAATTTCAGATCCCACTTTATCAGAAAGGCTAATAGAAGCAGAAAAAAGAGGTCATGTGGAGATGAATGTATATGTTTATATGAATATATGACTGTGTGAATTTGTTCTAGTTTGATTAATTTGGTAATAGGATTTTCATTCCTGTCCCCCAGTTTGAATACTCCCATTTCTCTTACTTCACCAGATAGCATACCTGCCTTTGGAGCATATATGTTCTCTTAAGCAGAAAAGCCGTTTTCAAGAAATAATGCAAAAGGCACCTACTCTTTTTAGATACTATTTGAGAAAAGTCATACAACCAATAGTTAACCTGGAATTCTAAACCGTTACTATAGACACTTTAAAGTGACAGTTTTCTTAGCGTAGGTTTATCTTCAACCCAGAGGTTATTAACAATGGCCAAAAAAAATCCTTTTCCACTTGTCCAAACTCAGAGCAACCCTAAAACACCTCCAGGAGACTCTACACATTCTGCCCATTTTTGAAGGGCTGTTGAACAGTATTTTATCTACATATGACAGAAGGTTATTGGACTGGTTGCACAAGACTGCTGTTCCTCAATGGATTTACATTTGACTCCTAATAAAGCAAAAATGGAAGATTTTCTAAAAGATCAGTTAGTGCAACCTACCCACACAATTATCAGTACAAAACAGACAACTTTTTAAAAGAGTTCCAATGATAAATGGACTTCTGAGGCTGTTTTTCTTCAGGTTTCTATTATTTTCCCTTAGGGAATGGTTTCCTTTCATATGCATTTTTCTCAAGACTTTTGGATGTTACTTATGTAATAAAGTTTTTTTAAGTTTTTTTTTTAGCAACAGGAATTGAAGCCTTCTTCAGACTTTCTTTTTGTTCCTGTGTGAGAACAGATTGTTCTGTCTTTCAACAAACTTCATTCAAACAACAGCTTCTATTTGTTTCCAGGTCTTTGTTACTTTGGTAGTAAATGAATCAGTCCCAAACAACTGGCATATTCCATTTGGCCATTAAAGTTTTTTTGTGTATGTCACACTAGCTAGAAAAACACACAGGTGATTAAAAAAATTACACTGTAGTCCAGATATACCAAATGCATTCTTATAGAAATACTGATTTAATGAGATGATAATCCAGTAATAATTTCTCATATGAAAACTGGTTGCCTTGGGAGTGTGTGCACTGAGCATAATAAGAATGCACTTCATAATAAGAAACAGGGCTAAATTTTGTTGCCATTGTTTAGCCAGGGGTACATGCTTGCTTCTGGCTTTACTAATTTTACTGTTGACTTAATAACATTCCATTGCAAGAGTATCTTTGTAATGGTCCCTGACATGTTGACAGCTGCTTAAATTCGGGGGGGGGGGGTTGTT